GTGTGAAGAAGCAAGACGAGGTTATATGCTGTCCGTTCAATTAATTCTTGACATATTATTAATAATTAACATGTTATCTCAAATTTACCCACATTAACTTCACCACTAACCCATGAAATGAATGATATGCCAAGAATAAACTAGATGGACAGCAAAATAGATATTAAAATTAGACCGCAAATCTCAATTTAGTCAATAATTTGGATAGCTCGATTGTCTATTACACTTGTCGGTTGGGGTGCATCGAAGATGGTATGAACCTGGCATCTTAGAATTGAATATACATTCTAGCAAAGGAATCCTTTGCCTCTGCTTTTTGATAAAGACAGGACAAAATATCATTTCTTCCCTTTATTAGTTGACAATGTAGTGGCTATCATAAGCTTGTCGTGTCACCCAAGAAAGTAAAACAAAAACCATCCGAATAGAATTCTATTTTTTTAATGATGCAGTAAACATGAATTCCACTAAATCAAAACAGCCTTTATAGTACCAACCACCAAATAGAGAATAAATATTATAAATGAAATATAAATTTTCAAATGGAGAACTGACGAGTCATTTACATATTGGCTAGAGAAAACTTGTTTTCAAGTGGCAAGCAATGCTGGTACATCTAACCACTACGGGTGCAACCTGTACATTTATAAATATGATCATTTGGTAATCAATTTGCAATTAATAATGGTATTGAACAGAGAAAGCATTTACTACCCATCAAACAGTATCAAACGACACTGATTTTTAATGCGGCCCCAGGCAAGAAAACTACATCTTCCTACTATTTAAGCAAACAATCTAAATGTCTGGATATCCAAAGATTCTCGTGTTCGAATATGCACACCCCAACCACAAGTCTTCAAAATTTTGTTCTTTCTTGACATCACCATTAGATGCATAAATATCTATCACGTGATCCACAACTTCCATTTGAACATCATGCCCAACAAGTTTCTATGTTGATTATGGACGAAGTTACAGATGATATGATAATGAAATCCAAGCAGAGATTATTGAAATATGAAAATATGATTACAACGTTAATGACAAAATTCTAGAATTGAGACACCATCTAGGCATTTGTCATAGACCACTTTCGCCCATCAATAATTAAACTCACTAATGACATTTTCCATACATTGTTCAGGACGTTAAACAACAGTGCGACACATAGCTAAAAAGAACTACAATTTCAGAGTTTGTAAACAAGTTCACTGCTTGGATATCATAAAATTTATAGTGAGCCCTTTAATATAGTCCACCTGCCATAAAAGGAAAAAGAAAAAACTCGAATGAGAAAGTTTCACCAAAACTACTGCAATAGTAGGAAAATAGAAAAACAGGAACAAGAAAAGAAGGAAAGCAGGATTGAAACTAAAGTCCTCTTCGAGAGACCTCCTATTAATCGAGCTGAAAAAGGTAATAAGAAAAGTAACATGTCAAGTAAAAATGTTGAGAAGTTAGACCTCCCCTCAACCCCAAAATCAATCTTCAGCAACACCAATTTAATTTTCATCCAGCCTAACTTTGCAGATTGTAAAGAGTCAACACAGGATTTTTAGAAGTTCCCACAAAATGATAAATAAAATGGTTCACAATGTTATTGCTGAATCTCTTCCAGTCATAAAGCATGCAAGGCTCTTCTACCAATTCATTTATGCAATTTGCATCAATATACTGCCATTCACTTGCATTTTATCCTGTTCTGTTAATTTACAATGTCAATGGAACTGATTGAAATTATATGTTTGAAACTTGAAAGATAGGTGAATAGGAAACAAATAGCCTATTTCACATTGCTGTTGAAAAGATTGACCTAGAATATGTTTATGGCAAGATTTTCAAGAGCGTTTCTAGTATTTCATAACACTTGGGTTCAAGGTGGTGGAAAGCAAGAAAACTTCATTTGCTCCTTCCCGAAAAGTAAAAAAGTTGGGACCAGCCAGCTAGACAGGACCTGCGAACGGGTATCATCTCTTGCATATTCTAGCTGACACGTGTTCTTTTTTAAATTTTTTTCAATCAAAGATATTCTTTGACATTAGATTATTTCTTTAGTAAGTGCATCTGATGTTAAATTACTTCAGTGACAAATATGCAGTAATTCCCATTGTTACTGATTAATGTACAGAACATTGGACAAGATTAATCAGAGCTTGATTAATGTACAGAACATTGGACAAGGTTGAACAGTGGAAATTGAGAAAAAGAATGTAAAATCTTGCTTAGTGCAATTCCAGTCCATTCCAATCATGCGTGCCAAACATGCTATAAGAAGCTGACGAATAAAATAGCTCGAAAAATCTTTTGAAGATTTCAAAATTTAATCAAATTACCTCGCTGTTCTTCCATTACCCAGAAGCAATACTAGCGCTTATTTACTGTTTAGATAAATTAGTCTTAGTCTTATCTCGTTTATCGTTTTATGCCTCCATTCTTTCAGCTTCACTAATCTGTAATTTCCAGTGTTAAAATACATGAGAATGCTAAGCAGCTCCCTAGAAGTAATCAGACACTTGCACATGTCATTATGATTCACATCCACAAATTGTGAACATAATTACAGTAGTCTTCGAGCAAAGGCAGATTATGGCCACTTCAAGGCCATATTCAGTAACTTAGTGATTAAACTAATATAAATCAAAGTGTCAAGTGCTCCAAGTGGAAATGAAATAGGAAACCCGTAATAGCAAGAAAGTCAACCATTAAATCCGGAAAATCTAGAAGGCATAGATTTTAGTGAAGGTTTGCGTCAAATCCGTTTGTTCATACCATACAAATGAAATCGACCTCTAAGTAATCAATAATCATTAAAGAAAACCCTAATCCGCTTAATTTCGAGTGGAACAAAGAACCTAGATCTGAATGCATAAAAAAGATCAAATTAACAGAAAACGGAAAATTAAAGAGTACCAAGGCAAAGTGGCTAATTAGAAGCGGAAGGAGAAGAGATAATCTCCATGAGCTTCTTGTCCCGTCTCTCCATCGCCACGTCCCAAACGTCATTCCCAATGTGCTTCGGCTGCCATAAATCAATAATTTAGTAATTATCACTGACTGGGAAAAAAACAAAGGCAAATCAATTGAATCTGAAGAAAAGTAAAGAGCAAATCGAAATACATAAAAAAATGGACACATACTCGGCCATGGGCGGCCTTGTGGATGAAATACTGAGCATTTCCCATCACGCAAAGCATGCCTGCTATGATCCCTAACGGTAACATTGCTTCCAACCAGACCAACCCCATCTCTCTCAGACTCGCTCTCACACACGCACACGCGCAGTTTAATGGCTTCGCTGTGCTAGCCTGCTACTCATTATCCCTTCCCTTCCCTTCCC